GAAGAGGACCAGTCGGGTGTAGAAGAAGACCAGGGAGAAGATGAGGAAGAGAGCGTCACACACGTGCTGATACTGCGTGTAGTTGACCATCTTACAGGCCTGAGAAGGGCAGCACGGAGAAATGGGCTCAGGACCAGGAGCCTGGCCTCAAGGAGAAGGTGCTATGGGATGGGAACAGGTGAGTTGGGGTGGGGTCTTGATTCCAGGAACTACCTACATTTCCAGGAAAGGTAAAGAGTGTGAATATAGGCCGGGCACGGTGGCTCACGCCTGTAATCCCAGCACTTTGGGAGGCCGAGGCGGCGGATCACCTGAGGTCAAGAGTTCGAGACCAGCCTGGCCAACATGGTGAAATCCCATCTCTACTAAAAATACAAAAATTAGCTGGGCATGGTGGCGGGCACCTGTAATCCCAGCTACTTGGGAAGCTGAGGCAGGAGGATCGCTTGAACCTGGGAGGCAGAGGTTGCGCCATTGCACTCCAGCCTGGGCGACAGCGTGAGACTCCATCTCAAAAAAAGTGAATACATGCATGCATGCAGATGTCTATAGCTGTATCCTCCAAGAAGGGAGGCTGAGAGGGGCGGGGCTTTATCTCCCAGGAAGACAGAGAGGGCAGAACCTCATCTCCCAAGGAAGCTGAGAAGGTGGGGGGGGGGCGCCTCTGCCCAAGGAAGCTAGGAGGGGTGGGGCTTCATCACCCAGGAAGATAGAGGGGGTGGGGTGTCATCAGCCTGGAAGACAGAGGGGACAGGGCCTTATTACCCGAGGAGGCCAGGAGGGTGGGCTCCATTTCCCAGGAAGGTTGGGAGGAATGGGAACTCATCTCTAGGGGCACCTGGGAGGGCTGGGTACAGCAGCTGGGAAGGGCCAGGAAGGGGCCAGGCCCACCTCCAGCAGGTAGTCGGCGGAATCGTATAACAGCAGCACCAGAGAGCCGATGCGCAGCAGGTTGGCGCTGTAGGAGAAGGTCATCAGGATGACCACCACGAAGTGATGTATCACCTGCTCCTTGAAATCCTGCAGGAGACAGTGGGTCCCAGTGGGGATGAGGCTTGATGCTGGAAGGTGCCCCACCCTATGGGCCAAGAAGTGCGTCCTTTCAAGGGGTTTGTGTGGCTTCTGGGCCCATGGCCTCTATACGTCCTGCAAGAGGCACCAGGGAGCTCTGAAGGTACGGCTGTGAGGCTGCCCTACCACCCTGCACCCCAGCTCCCTGTCCAGAGACGGGGTCTTCCGGACTCTTGTGTGGCCTCACCTTGCGCTTGACATCAAAGGGCAGCCTGATTAGCAGTGAGAGGTAGAAAGCCAGCTCCAAGAGGTACCACCAGTACAGGGATGGCTTCAGGGTCTACAGCAGGGCAGGACAAGGTTAGCTGTGGGGAGCGAAGGCTCCAGTCGGGCAGGGGTATGGCTCAGGGCCCACTCCATTTGCTCAAAACCAGGATACTTGAATCCCAATGAGTGAGCTCCCCATCCCTGGAGGTAATCAAGGGCAGTGGTTTGGTGGAAGCACCTGCTTGGAGTTTCCTAGCCCCTCTCTATTCCCCAGAGG